CTATTTTGCACACAGTGTTTTTCACGCAAAACTCCCAAAGTATTCATAAATMCATCATATGCTCTGTTGACATCCTTAATAAATACATCTTTCCAATTTTGTTTTTTCCAAGTCATCTTTCAATTTATCCAAAGCTTTTTTCGATGTGTTAAACATTTTCTTATCTTTGGATTGATACTTTTTAAAGACTGTGAAAACTGGTAGATGATCACTTACATCAGTTGTCAAARGTCCACTCAACCCCTCTCCTTTTCTTACAGTAGTGAATATATTGTCARTTATTGTTGCAGGAAGTGTTGTGATTCTTGTTGGTTTTGATTTTAGTGGATAAAGCCCCGAACTGTTGTATTATAAACACATTAGAGTCAGTTTGATTTCCCAAGTCAATGTTGACTTGTTAAAAGACCTTGTATTGGAGAAATAGAACAAGACCCACAGGCCAAAAGTGTCCTGCCACCGCATTTTATGTGTGCTTCAAAGATGCATTAACATCTTGAAATAAGYGTATACTGCATTAAAGCCAGTATATGATAAAGTACATCTCCCATAATACCTGGCTGACAGAATTCACCACTTGGCAGCGGTGCACAGGGTTCAAAACCTGTAGTCAACAAAATTTGGCATGCAAAATCTGCATTTTTCTGCATTTTTGCAGGCTTTTTTGTACTATAAGTGGAAATTTCYCACTCAAAGTGCTCAGGCTGCACCAGAAATGTTGCATCTAGCTGCTGATACTGTTTTCATTTTTTTATGCTAAATAGATGGCAATAAACTGGTGGYTTTGCAAAAAGACATTCTCCTTGTTCCTGCTCAGACAAGCTGTTAGCTCATCAGTAAATAATAATTTTACTAAACTTTCTACAGAGCAATACTTCAAAAGATCTAMACTGTTGGTTTCAGAGGTTTCTGATGAATATCTGCTGTTGAATATTTACCCAATGAAGAAGTAATCTAGATGATAAATGTTGATTAAAACTATTGCTTTCCTTCTCTGATGCAATTCAACCACCGGTTAATGATCTGCAACATGTTTACAGCTTGATTCACGATTAACAACCTAAATGTTAACACGTTTTTTTGTAAARAGGCACTGAAAAGGAAACAGAACACATAATTGCATCAAAGCAAAAGTTATTTCAGAGCACAGGTGAGATCTGTTATTTGATACAGTGAAACTTTGGCTCTGCACATGGCTTTTCTGCAAAACAAAGAGCAAAAAGTTTTTAACAAAACAAGTTGTTCTGCTGTAACAGTATCTTTGACTGGTTTTATCAGCTGTTGGAGAAATCTTCCTTTGTGAGTTGGATTCCACATCGAATGGTCATGCAGATGAAAGTGAATACCTGAAAGAAAAAAAAACAGAAAACAAACAGCTTGGGTGCAGTAATGTTGAACTACAGAACCTATACAATTTTTGCAAATCTTTAAATGCAAATAAAATATCCACACGTAGTAAATTGCAGCTTTAGTTTACAAAACAGACCAAAATAAAACCATGCACTCTTCTTCTCAGTATGCAATTGAACAAAGCAAGAAGCAAACACATATCTAAAAGGATCAAAAAGTTAGTTTTAACTCTAAAGTAGCTAAATGTTAGGCAAAAGCTGAAAGTGAAAAGTACCAAAACAATAACTAAACGTATTAAAAAGTTAATTAAGAAGCAAACATTTAAAATGTTAAAAGAGTTAGAAGCTTTGAGTGGCAAAATACAAAAGCTTGGAGTAGCTACATAAAAGTACCAAAACATCAAGTAAAAGTATCAAGTTTAGCTGTTTGCTAAAATGTGGCTAAAAGCTTAGTTAAACAAAGGGCAGCAAGGCTATAGCTGAAAGTAATAAAATCATAAATAAACGATTAGCTAAAAATATCAAGATTTTTAACTCATGAAGTAAAAATTTAAAATAATCTCATTCAAACATTTAGTAAGTTCGAAGAAATCTTGTTTGGAGATTATTATTGTTAATGGAATATTTGAATTGAACCTTCTTCTTTTTTTAGTTAAAAAGGAACAACACTAAAACATTTTTATCCTCATTGCAGCACAAGTCCAACAAGAGTTTTAAGGATGTCTAATAAAAATAAATAAATTTAAAAGATCAACCTGACCTTTTTCCCTTCTAACGCAACAAACATGACAAAGCTTCTGTAGCTCTTTTTTATTGACTGTGTGAAGGGAAACAAGCCCTGAACTCCTTTTATCTTTCTCTCCCCAAACAACAAATAGTTTGCAGGAAACTCCTTTCTCGTGTCTGCTGAAACTGCATGAGAGCTTTCTGTTATCTGAAATTCGTTTACTCACCAAAAAAAATGATGAAAATGTTGTTTGATGTCGTTATCTGCAGACCGTGGAGGGTGGAAGTAAGACTGGGCTTAATGAAATCCTGCTAATCGGTTTTTACACTCCTTAAAATTCAGTCATGGAGCAAGTATTTACATGGGTCTGCGCTGTTTTCAGTTAATATCTGGAATATCAAACATCAGGATGTTGTGCAAAAATGTAGTAAAAACAGAAAGTAATCATTTGCAAATCTCATAAATTATTTATAAAGGAATAAAACATGGATTTATG